CCAGAACAAAGGTCTCTTAACTCCTTTGGATTGCAGGCCCAAAGGGAAAAGTTGTTTATGACAGTCAGTAGAACCTTGTGAATTAGAACATGAGCGACTTCAGCTTTTAGGAGTTATTTTCACACAAAAATCTATGTTTGAGCTGAAATTTTCATCTCTATTTTGAAGGACTTGTTTTAGTCACTGTTAATCTCCTTTGTAGAATTTCTATTTCATTTGGTGACTGAGCTACAAGAAACTCAGACCTGATCATATCCTGTGATACCCAAGAGCACATGGTTATTACTAGAGGCTTTTATTACCACCTAGGCTTTGTTACTTTCATGTGTAATATACAAGCGATGTTATCCTACTATGCCAATAGGTGGGCTTATTCAGAAAGCATGTTTTAAGTTGCTCTATATCACATTCTTATACTGATTCATAAGGCATATAGGGTGACATGAGATCATTAACAGTCTATACCCTGTGTTTTAATTAATTAATTTAGTGGTACTGGGGATTGAACTCAGGACCTTGCACTTGCCAGACAAGTGCTTATTCTACTGAGCTATCTCCTCAGCCCCCAAAATGATTTATTTAAAAATTAAATATTTTTGGTTTAAGATGAGGTCTTGCTCTACTCCCCAGGCTGGCCCTCATGATCCTCCATAAGAGGCTGGGAGTACTGATATATATTAATGGCTGTACTTTAAATAAAAGTTTCCAGATAGGTGTCTTCTGAGAGTGGATCAAAGGCAATCAGAGATATAATAGCATCTTCTAGGAACACAGGTTGTGGTTGGGAGACTGGTATACATGACACCCACAACTTAAAGGAAGAGTTATTTTGGCTCTGTTTCTGTCCATAACTGGCTAGCTCCAGAGCAGAAATGGTGTGGTAAAGGGGACTGGGTGGAGGGAGGCTACTCATGCCTTGATAGCCAGGAAGCAGAGAGAAGGGAGGAACCAGGCAGGCATGGAGCTAGGCCTCAGTAACACCTCTTCCCACCAGGCCCCACCTCCCAACAGCACACGTAGCAGTGTACTCTTCAATGCATTAATCCACTGCAGGTATAGCAGCCCTGTGATCCAGTCCCTTATAAAAATCTCACTGAACACCTGAGTTTTCTGAGGGATGCTGTAGATCTCAACTGCAGCAGAAGAAGGAAACATGAAAGTTTTTGAAGCACAAGTGTTTTTCAAGTTGTATTTGGATACAACTAATACTTGTCAAACTTGTGTTTTTGAAGAGTATGCAGAGAGACTTGCTTCCACATTTTTAAGAAAATGGAATCCAAGGGGCCAGATTTTTAAAACACAGACAGGCAGACAGACATAAATTTCTTGGAAGATAATCTGAGTTTTCAGTAGAGCCAAGGCTAAAAAGCAGGCACTGAGGTGGAAGATAGTCACATTTATCACTTGTGTTGGAGAGCAATTATTTTAGGAAATATTCACTGAGGACTGTTTAAGGGTATCTGGAATACTCAAATAAACCTTATTCACTAGTTGACATATGGGTAGCCTGGTGTTTTACAGCTTGGCTAAAGCAGCTTTCTTCTCCTCCTCGTCCTTCTCCCCCTCTTCCTCTTCCGCCGTCTTCTCATACTGGGGGTTAAACACAGGCCTTTACACTGAGCTACATTCTCAGCCATTTATTTTTTTAAATTCTGACACAGGTTCTTGCTAAGTCATTAAGTTACCCAGGTTAGGCTCAAACTTGTGTTCTTCTTCCTCAGCTTCCCAGAGCCCTTGGTTATGGCTGAAGCTTACGGCACTTCACTGCTGACAGGTGGCCTCCCTTCTGTTTCCCACTCATGGTTATAGCTGGGCTCACTCTGATAGTGAGCATCTCTCCTCAGCTCTCCTCTCACTGTTCCTCAGGCTGATGTCTCCTTCACTTGTCAGTGTGAAATTCACAAACAGAAAATGTGTTCATTGCTAATTTTACTCCTCTTTCCACTAGAGCTGGTGGTTTATTTTTATTTTTTCTAAACTATGGAGAAATTTATACTTGGGACTTCATCCCAAAACCTGAAGAGTGTCAGTGAAATAAACCACACTTACATAGGCCATGTATTAACGTCCTAATGTACACTTACTTTTTCTCATTTTTGAGAAGTCCAGATATTAAATGATCTGATAAAGAGAAACCAAGAAAACTAAGAAACACGCTCATGGTGCATTCTCTTCTCCACAGCAACACACTAAGATTCTGAATGCAAGCTTGGTCTCCTCAGGAGGTGGCACTCTGGTATGCCCCCGAAACGTGGTTTGGAGTCAAGTGTTAGTGCTAAATGAGAATAACACCTGTGGGAAGTTGTTTCTTGATCATAAGCAAGAAATCCTCCTACTGGAGAGCGATTTTATGACGCCAAAGGGTGTACCGGAGGTGGGAAATCACAAGCCTCAGCGTACTTGGGATCCTGGTACTCACGCAGGCGAGGACATCCTTGAGTATATTTATTGCAAGAAACCTTTTTGCCAGTATTCATACCTCATTGACCATCAGAGGAGACACACATGAGAGGAACCACATGAAATAACAGATGTGGGAAAACCATCCAGAAATCACAACTCAGAGATGCAAAAAACTCACCCAGCAAAGAAACCTGAATATAAGGCATGTGGTAAAGCTTAAAGGCTCCCTGCACACACATAGCAGACAGAAAGAACAACCAATGGGTGTGACAGGTGTGCAGAATCCTAAGAGTCCATCCATCTGAGGAGTCTCGCGGGAGAAGCCTTAAGGATGTCAGGAGTGTGGCAAGTCTTGTGTGAAGTCAAACCTCACTGAACACCAGAACACATACATGTGATGTGGAAAAATCTTCCATAAATCACAGTTTGCTGTAAGGAAGAAAACCCTGTGTGTTGAGTGTGGGAAGCCTTTCTACTGTAAATTAGTCCTAAGCCAAGCGTGGTGGTATATGCCTATAACCCCAAAACTCTGGAAGGCTGAGGCAGGAGGATTGTGAGGTTGAGTCAAGCCTGAACAACTTAGTGTATCGAGACTTGGTCTCAAAATAGCAAGTAAAAAGAAAGGACTGGGGATTTAGCTTAGTGTTGAAGCCCTGGGTTCAACTCCCAGTCTCTCTCTCTCTCTCTCTCTCTCTCTCTCTCTCTCTCTCTCTCTCTCTCTCTCTGCCCTAAATGTTACACAGGAAGAGAATATAAAAGAGAAACCCTGTAAATGTACCAAGTATGAGAAATCATGCTCATCAGCCCTGATTAGACATCAGGTGGCTCAAACAGGTGAGAAACCTTATGGTTGTCATGAATGTGGGAAAGCTCCTATTTGAAGTTAAATCTCAGCAAACAACAGAAAATTCACTTTGGGGGAAAAGTGAACAGAATGATTAAGGCAGATCCCTGTCTGTAAATTTGATTCTTGCTATCCATCACTGAACTCAAAACAGAGAAACCCTACAGGTACAATAAATGCAAGAAGTCTTGCAAAAAGCTCTCCTGCTGGGTGTGGGGGCCTATGCCTGCAATCTCAGGATTCTGGGAGGCTGAGACAGGAGGATCACAAGTTTAAACATAGCTTGGGCAATTTAGTGACTTAGTGAGACCCTGTCTCTATGCGAGATAAGTAAAGGGCTGAGACTGTACTCAGTGGAAGGCCCTAGTACTCGGGAAAAAAAAAGAAATCAGCTCTTCAGTAATCAGGGAACTCACCCTGAAAAGAAAACTCATGAACATACTGAACATGAGAAGGTGTTTTATGTGAATTCTCACCTAAATATTTATCAATGAAATCACACAGGAAAGAAGTATCATTAATCTGGAGAATGCAGAAAAGAATGGGGCTTCTAAAGTCACCCTCACTAATTATCCATCTGAATGGGCTGGGGAAATAGCTCAGTAGAATAAAGGCTTCTCTGGCAAGCGCAAGGACCTGAGTTCAATCCCCAGTTCGGGGGGTGGGGGGGACCAGAAAACTTGTCAGCATAAAAGTCAACCCTGACTACATAAAAAAAATTGTATAGGGGATAAACCCCATAAATGTGACAAATGTGGGAAATCCTTCTATGTGGTCAGCCCCCAGTAAATAAACATTAGTGGACACACAGAAAACACAGCAGCACCGAAATCACGAACTTATAGTAACAGCTGGTGGAAAACCATGTATCGCACAGGCATTGAAATAAAGTGCTGGTGGAGAAACACTATTTTTCTACTACCATGTCTGGTTGTGCCTGCAGAAGTCAGTGGCACAGTCTAAGTGGTAGGAGCCCAGAAACCATTTGTGTAATAGGGTGGCAGCTACCATGCCCTGACCCTGTCTGCTCAGCTCATCTGTGTCTCTTGCAGCAGATGGGGAGACAGCTCTGCATGAGCATTGCTGGAGAACCTTGCTGTGGTCAGGTTTGGCCTTCCTTACCAGTGACCATTTGTGCTTGGCATAGGACAGGCAGTGGCCACTAGGATGTTTAAGGAGATTCTGGGTAACTATTAGGAATGAGCTTATCACTGATAGAGACAAAAGCAGAATGACATGAAATACCTAGTTGTGACCACTGGTTAGATCTTGTGACTCAGGGTGGGGAGGTGGAGGCTGGTGAGCAAAGAGACTTTATTAATGACTGTGCAGAGTTGAATGGATTTGCTCTGATGTGGCTCTGTGCTGGGGACTCTCTGAGGTAATTAATTTTCCTATTTTTAAGCCTATTGAAGTTGAGATTCTTCAGTTACTGTTATGACATTCTAACTCTGAAAGCAGATACATTTCAAAAAATACTTAGTTCATGGACTGAAGTTCACTTAATGGTAGAACATGTGCTTAGCATGTATGTCACATTGAATTCATTCCCAGTACCACCACCACCACCACCACCAACAACAACAACAACAACAACAAACATACAATTCAGAAGTGCTAGCTATTCAGGGACAATATGATTTGAGAAAAATGATCTAGCATTTTTGCTCTGTAAATTTTCATATAATAAAAATGCTATTTCTTGTTTGAAATCACAGAATCTCCTTTGGAAGCTTAGCATAATGTGTAAGATGGGTCATCCACTTGATTGGCTTGGGAGCTGCCCAGTGGGTGAGTATAGCACACTTCTGCATGTGCCCGCATGGGTCATGGAGGTGCGGCCTTTGGGTCTCTATCTGGTTCCTCACCCCTTTCTCTCTGGCACCCCTACCCTGCTTCCCAGCTGTCATGAACTAGGCAAGCTGCCTTGCCATGCCCTTCCTCCAAAATGTCTCTGCCTTAGAGCCAGCTGATCATGGACTGAATCCCCTGAAACCACAAGCTAAACTAAAGGTCTCCTTTAAGCTGTGGGCATGAGGTATTGTGCTAACAAGAAAGGTGACTGATACGCTTTTATTTCTTTTCATACAAAATAATCCTTTTTTTCTTTAAAAAAAGAAATTACTTATTGACTTTTCCACATGTTAAGGAACATAAGATCTGGGCTTGATGCAAGCACCTAATCTTTATTATCCCAGTGGATAGCTGGCTCTCCTTAACCATTTGGTAAATCCACCTTTTTGTTCCTGACTTAAAATGCTATCTTTATCATGTACTACTGGCAACGCTTTCACCTTTCTGTGCTCAGCACTCCTCTTCCCTCCCTTCTAGGGAAGAGTGGAGCCCCCAGGATGGCTGATTTTCTGGGCAGCTGCCACCACATGCCCTTTTTAAAGATATAAATGTTGCTTATCTGCTCTTAAAAGGTGACACTGTAGTCACAGAACCACATGGTCCTTTGGCCCATTTGGGCTTTTCAGGGAGGGTTCCTGATCTACGAGAGGTCAGGGAGTGTATGTCAGCAATTTGCAATGGGAGATCTTTGCAGAGAAGCATTTGCTTTGCAGGGTTGCACTGGGTTTTCTCTTGTATGTGGCCTTGGTCTCCACTCCACTTGTGTATGCTGTAGTTTTGACTGTTTTTTGTTCTCTTTTACTGAACTATTGTTCAGTTGTCCTAAAAAAGGCCATGTTTTTATTGTTCTTGGCTCTTTACTCTTGAGACTTTCTTGGGTTTTCCTAGGTTCTTCCTAGTGATAACCTTTTGAGTGGACTCACAGTTCTGCACACCCCGTGGGGTTGGGGTTGGATTTGTATTTAGATTTTGTTTCCATTCTGCCCCAGGAGGTGGCCCATTCTTTATCCAGCTGGCTTGGGGAATTTTCTGTGCCCCAAGTAGTGGCTAGGAACTCACACCAGAGTAGGCCATAGGTCATCTCCACACCACAGCTGTCACCCACTGACGGCCAAGCTGCCACCTCAAGCTGTCTCCACTGCACAGGTGACAGACTCTGGGGAACCCTTGGGAATCCTTGGGGAAAGGTATCTTCAGTATGAACATGTATGCCTTTGGAAGGTGCCTCAGCTGCCAGGCAGCTCTACTGAGGGTACCCCTTTTCTAAGTACATTACTTTCAAATGGCAGGGTGTGGGGTATGGAGTTAATCTAGTGGACCAGTACTTTTTATTTTTTTTATTTTTTTTTGACCAGTACTTTTTTTTTTTAAATATTTATTTTTATTTATTACATTTATTTATTGTGTGTGTGTGTGTGGCCAGCTCAGCCCACCAGGGGGCGGGTCTGGCTGGCATGTGGTGCTGGGGATCGAACCGCGGTCCCTGTGCTTTGCCAAGCTTGTTTCAAGTAGGTGCTTTAGACCACTGAGCCATCTCTCCAGCCCCCTGACCAGTACTTTTTAAATGAACAGTTTAGAATAGAAAATGTAAGGGCCTGTGTATGGTGTTACATACCTGTAATCCCAGCATTCTGAGAGGCTGAGACAGGAGAATCTTAAATTCAAGCTTAGCCTGGCAACTTGGCCAGTTGATGAGTTGCTATTTAAAAATAAAAAATATTTAAAAGGGCAGGAAATGTAGCTCAGTATGAAGGTCTGGGTACAATTCCCAGTATGGGGCTTAAGGGGAAAGGAGAGAAGAACTGTGGGTGGGAAAGAAGGTAGGAAAGAAAAAAGGAGGAAAAGGAAGGAAGAAGAGAGAAAGGAGGGAGGGAAAAGCAGACTTGAGGGGCTGCTGATAGTGTGCTCTGCTATGAAATCTTTTCTCAGTTCCTTCTTCCTAGGATGCTCCTTCCTCTGGACACTTCTTCGTCATTCCAGTACCTCCTCCTGCCTCAGCCTCTTGTGTAGCTGAGATTATAGGCATGCACCACCACACCCAGCATACACAACTATTACTTTTATGACTGCACAGTACTGGGCCATGAAAAAGGCCAATGGCCCATGCTAGTTCATCACTTTGGAAGGAGCCACAGACTTTAAATTTAATGAAAGTAAAAGTAATTTATTTTTAATATAATTATCTCTATAGTAAGAAGCAACATAATTTAAAAAATGCATTTCCTTCATTTTGTTTAGCTAGAGACATTCTATAATGCTGGGTAGGAGGAAACATAGCTTATCATACAGCCTTCTTTGAGGAGCGCTAGCTAGGCACAGTGAGGCAGGATACGGAAGACAGGGAGGGAGTGGTGTCAAACGTGGCTTCAGTGTTAACAGCTAGCTAACATTAACAGCCTGTATTTATTTTACTTCATTTTTCTTAACCCCTATATTGTGTGACTAAACTACAACACACTAGTGTGGGAAACCTTTGTAGATAATCATTTCAATGTATATGCTAACTTTTAGTTCCTACCTCAAACTATATAATCAACTATACAAGTAACCAGACTTTTGATTACTGTTATGTAACGTAATCACAGTCAGCAGAATATGGAATTACACTGCTGAGCTACAAGAACAGGAGCCATGTGCATTACTTATGAAAAACACAGCATTTTAGCTCAGTGGTATAAAGGGCTAAGTTATTCAAATGATGTAGGCTATAAAATCAATCACTTAAAACTAGATCCTTATCTCACACCATATATTGCCAACAGCAATAATCCACAAATGAATTACCTCTAACAAAATTTATTTCATACACTGGAACAATGTAACTTTGCAGGTCAATGATAGGACAGTTCAAGGAGGTGTACACATTTAATTGTTTCAAGTTGATTTCCACTGCTTGAACTATTTCTGTCACAATTTACAGAAAATAAGATCTGTATATCCACACCTCAAAATAAATGATTTACCTGAAGTCCACTTCTGAACCACATAACTTCTACAAAAGTGCAACTGTTTCAGAATGTCTTCAGTTATTAGCAATGGAGCATTGGAAGTAAACTGGCTTAAAAATAAATATAATCTCTCACAAAAGCACTATAATCCAGACACATCAAGTGGCCACAGGGCTGGTTGGTTCTGTGGTTCAGTGACTCTATCACCCAAGTTCCAGAATCTTCCAGTCTTCCTGTGAAGGTCATGAATAAATCATAAGCCTTTGCTGGAAAGTACCAGGCACCACATCCAGATAAGGTCATTCTCATGAAAAGACCCTGCTTTCTGTTGCTTGAGTTCTTGAACCTTTGAGGAAACTTTCTCCAGAAACAACCTGTCAGGTGAGTTTGTTCATTTGTCTAGACTTAGGTCCTGGGACCATTTGACAGCAATGCTGGCAGTGAGAATGGATTACCATTACTGATCAAAACTAACAAGGACTTATTTCCTGTTCCACGAGGAGCAATCCAGACTCTCCCAGTAAAGGTAAGGACAGTGATTCACACAACAAAATCTGCCACAAACTCCTACAATGTGTCCTCGCTTCCTTCGTGGATGAGAAGGAGCAGAGCAAGTGCTCATGAACACTACCAGACTGGAAAGAGACAAATGACTCTGATGCTACTCAGTCCCTGTGCTCCAAACACACTCAAATAAACATCCAAATAAAAAATAGATTAAAAAACAGAAATGGTAATATTTTAAGTACATCTTTTAGTTGTGCAGAGTGCAGTAAGTACTAAAGCTATTTCTCACTCCTGGAGAATTCTGGCTTAACAGTTTAAATTCATCTATGCAGGATTTTTTTAAAAAGTCTATTTTATACATATTTAATTTATCTCTTTTGCTGACTCACTATAGTTAAAGACATTATAAAAAACATTGTTTTTTTAATGGATGATGTAGTTCACTAACAATGATCAAGGCATATTTATAAATACCGGGAAGAATACAAATATAATTTCAATGACAATGCACACTAAAGTACAAACATGGTAGTGCTACTTAGACGAGTAATTTTACAATATGAGTTACAAATTCATAAGGATACAATGATGAACATACAATTTCTGTAATGTAACATACTAAAAACAATCCCCTCCCTGTTTTGTCTTCCCTGGGAACTATTTATATATGAATTTAACGCTGCACACTTGCCTAGCTATCCTGATTTTACGTCTTTTGTTTACACAGACTGTGCATTTATTAACAGAAGGTATCTTCTATTTCTCTTAACAAATTTGTTTTTACAACAGAATTATCTTTTAGTATTAAGAATTTCCAAGAGTATGTTTCCACATTCTTTAAACTGATAGAATTCCCTGATATGCAAAGTTCTATTCCTTGGTGAAACACTCTATTATATCCATATATATATATATATATGGACCTCAAGCTTGCCAGAGCAGGAGCTGTGTCACTGAGCAACAGAGCAATATAGAGCAACCTATATCCCTGGCACCTAAGTATTAATACATTTTTACTCCTGTTTAGTCTAGTATTTAATGAATCATATGGTCTTGGTACTATCGTGGTTTCTGCCCTATGAAGGTCAACAACTAATGCACAGGGCTTATCCACACTCACCTATATGAGTTCTCAGATGCAGTGCCTCTTCTGTACAGGGTTGGGGTGGGAGGAGGTATTGGTTCTAGGACATACCCCTTCCATCTGCAGCTGCTTAGGCCCTTTGGTAAAACTGTACAGTATTTGCATATAATCCATGTAATTCATACAGTTACTCATCTCTAGGTTACTTATAATCACCTCTAGGTTACTTATAATCACCAGTAGAATGCAAATAGTTGTTGACTTGCTGTACTGTATTATTTTGGGTAATGACAAGAAAAGTCTACATGTGTTCAGAATAGTTACAATGTTTTTACCAAATATTTTTTACTGGTTGAATCCAGGTATATAGGATCCATGGATACAGACAGCCAACTGTGTAACAGTCTTTGACTGCTTTTAGGGGTTTCTTGCTCACTTTATTGAAAGGGCTGTCTGAGGTCTGACTTCAGAGAAGCTGTCCTACATCAACAACATTCACATCCCCTCTCCTGTGAATTCTCTGATGACTATTGAATGCTGACTTGTGGTAGAATTTCTTCCCGCACTCAGTACATTCATAGGGTTTCTCTCCTGAATGGGTTCTGTAGTGCACAGTGAGGTATGACATCCTAGAGAAGGCTTTTCCACACTCGTTACATTCAAAGGGCTTCTCTCCAGAATGGATCCGGTGATGGATGGTGAGATAGGACATCTGGGAGAAGCATTTCCCACATTCATAGCACTCATACGCTTTTTCACCTGTGTGTGTTCTCTGGTGTCTATTAAGGGCTGAGTTCTGGCAGAAGGTTTTTCCACACTCACTACATTCATAGGGCTTCTCTCCTGAGTGGATTCGGTGGTGGATGGTGAGGTAGGACATCTGAGAGAAGAACTTCCCACAGATGTAGCACTCGTAGGGCTTCTCTCCTCGGTGGATCCTGCGGTGTCTGCACAGGGCAGAATTCTGATAGAAGGTTTTTCCACACTCACTGCACTCATAGGGTTTTACTCCAGAGTGGGTCCGGTGATGGATGGTGAGGTAGGAGAGCTGGGAAAAGAGCTTTCCACACTCACTGCACTCATATGGCTTCTCCCCTGTGTGTACCCTCTGGTGTCGAAGCAGGGCTGAGTTCAAGTAGAAAGTTTTCCCACACTCAGCACACTCGTAGGGCTTCTCCCCAGAGTGGGTGCGATAGTGCACGGTGAGGTACGAGAGACGTGAGAAGAACTTCCCACATTCATTGCACTCGTATGGCTTCTCACCCGTGTGTGTTCGTAGGTGGGTTGTGAGCGTAGACTTGCGGCAGAAGCATTTGCCACACTCACTGCACTTGTACAGCTTCACACCTGTATGAATCTTCTGGTGGTCATTAAGTGCTGATTTTTGGGAGAAGGTTTTGCCACAGTCATGACACACATAGGGCCTCTCCCCTGAGTGTGTTCTCTGGTGCTGGGTGAGGTGTGTCTTCTGGCAGAAGGCCTTTCCACAATAACCACACTCATAGGGCTTCTCTCCTGAGTGAGTTCTCTGGTGTTGTATAAGGTGTAGCTTCTGGTAGAAGTTTTTCCCACATTCATTACATTCATAGGGCTTCTCCCCTGTGTGGGTCCTCTGGTGTACCGTGAGCGTTCCCTTTTGACAGAAAGACTTCCCACACTGGTTACATTTATAAGGTTTCTCTCCTGTGTGAGTCCTCTGGTGAATAATGAATTTTGACTTCTTACAGAAGGACTTCCCACATTCCCGGCACTCATAGGACTTCATGTCCACGTGAGATCTCTGATGGCCACTGAGGTCTGACATTTGGAGAAAGGCTATTTCAGACTCATTCCAATTATAGGTCTTCTCCTCCATGTGATTAACAAAAACTGAGTCCTTTTGGAAGGCTTTCTGGCACTCGACGTATTCAAAAGGTTTCTCCAAAATACGTACTTTCTGATAAATATTCTCTTCTTTTACAGAGTAATTTCCTGCATACTCATCTCCTGGATGGGTCTTTTCAAGCTTAATGTGGAGGAGTGACTTTCCACACCCACTACATTCATCAGGTTTCATTTTTGCATAGCTTCCATCACTACTAATGTATTCTGAAACAGATACTAAGCTCTTTTCACAGGCATCACATTTAGAGGCTATTTTTCTTGAAGAAACAGGGCTCATCTCGACATTAAAATCTTTCTCAGAAACATTACCTCTCTTTTCAACCAGGGTTTTATTGATGAAGAACATATGTGCATTTTGCTGGACTCTCTCCCTCAGGTCATCAGCTTGCCAGACTTCATCTGCGTAGCTCTGAGGTGGGAGTGCTCCTTCTACTATCCATGGCTCTTCTCCTTGCTCCAACTTGATGATAACATCCGGTTTGATAATGTGACACCC